GTTATTTTACTTAATACGATAGGCAGTTATTTAAATATTTATTTCAATTTACTCATTACTTAACTAAAACATCATAGATAATTATTTAAAATTAACAATTATTTACAATTTATTTAATCCAATAATTATTTAGAGATTTTATCTATTAGCATATTCATAATTATCAATTAATCTGTTATAATAAATTATTAGATTAGCAATTTCTTCATAGTCATAATTTATCAATTACTAATTATGATACATACAACTTGGTTATCTAATTAATTTAACTAGATAGTTACTTTACTAAATACGATAGATAGTTATTCAAATAATTATTTCAACTTACCCAATTAATAAACTAACACATTATATAATTAATTAACAATTATAATTATTTCAACTTACCCAATTAATAAACTAACACATTATATAATTAATTAACAATTATATACTAATTAATCAAATATCAATATTAAACTAATTAATATACTAACATTTGTATTTAAAATAAATCTAATAAATATTTCTTTAAACCGAACCATTCAAACCGATTCAGAAACCCAATCAGACCGGTCCGACCAGACCGACGGGCGGGGTCCGACCAGACCGGGTGGGAGGGGTCCGCTCCGGCCAGTCGGACCGCTGCTAAAAATAAATAAATAAAAAATACCTGCGGCGCGGGGCTCGGCGGCGGCGGCTTCTGCTCGCGGTTCTTCTGGGCAGTGGTTGGCAGCGGCGACGGCGGGCTTCTGGGCAGCGGCGGGAGGCCTTCTCGTCTGCGGCAGGGGGCCGGCGGAGGTGGCGGACCGGCGGAGGTGGCGGGCCGACGGAGGTGAGGGTTTTGGGAGGTGAAGGTTTGGAGGGGTAGGGTTAGGTTGGGATAGGTTTAGGGTTTTAAAATGAGGCGGGGGCAATTTTGTCATATTTTTCCTAACTACGGGCGGCAAATAGTAAAACTACGGGCGGCAAATAGCGATTCATATGTGGAGGGCTATCTCATCTAGTAAGCACCTGGTCACAAAAAAGGTTGTGAGCAAGATAGCCAAGTTGGATTGGAAGCAAGGTGTGCAGGTGAGTAGCTGGTGTTGTTTCGTGTGGGACTCACAGTCACAGGCTGTTGTGGAAAGAGAGGTGTCCGTGTGTTTGGAAGTTGCAACAAATGTTACTTTTTATGCTATAAGAAATTATGTATTTAGTAGAGAAGTGAAATAAATACATTTTTGTAGTCTTCTATATAATTATGTGAAATATAATTGTTTGGTTATGTATGTAGGCAAAACAGTGGGGCTAGTACTTTGATATTTTTAGCCCTCATCAGTCAATCAGGTGGGGTTGAAATGATATGCTAATTACCGGGGAAAAAAACAATAAATTAAAATGAGACTAAAGAAAGTTTAACACTTCATTCACGAAAAGAGGGAGGAAATTGGGAAGGGGAAGGAAAATTTTGAGGGTAGTGAAATAATGAGGGAAAAATATGTGTTCAACTTTGAAGGGGGAAAGGAGGGGGGAAAGGCTTAATAAGAGACAACAATTGTTTTCACCCTAAATTGGAGGCAACTGCTACTAGAGGTGGCAATTCTCAATCTAATCCACCAACCCATTAAAAATATCCACATAATCCAATCCATTTGATCCAAATCCAATTGGATCGGTGGATTCATGGATTGATTCATGGATCCAAATGACAAATTACGGTTTGATACCTATACTTTTTATATTTTACATTTTGGTATCCAAAATTTAATTTTTTATACATAAATTTTTTATATTTTACATCTTTGGAAATTACGTTTTGTTACATAAAATTTTTCATTACGACATTTTAGTACCTAAACTTTTCATATTTTACATATTGGTCCTTGGTTGAGGATGTCATTTGGATTCACGGATAATCCACCAATCTAGTTGATCCAATCCATGAATCCACCAATCCATTGGATCCAATCCATTTGATCCATGAATCCACCAATCCAATCCACCAATCTGTGGATCAATCCATTTGCCACCTCTAACTGCTACAGCTTTTCTTCAAGAATAATCACTCATACGTACGGTAGCAGAACTTATAAACAACGAAAAAGTTGCAATCCCTCCATTTTCGGAAAAAAATTCCAAAATGCAAATGTTATTAAAAAAAATTCTCAAAATACATAAGTTATAAAAATATTCCTAATTTACACATGTTTTGACTTCACCGTAGCCGTCAACCGCAGTGAATAACATCACCGCAGTCGTCAAAAACGATGAATGCTTCACCGTAACGATCGGAAACGGTGAATACCTCCTGACCATTCACCGCTCGTGTCTCACGCGGTGATGGTCTATCCCAAACTCTGTTCCCAGCAACGAGCCTCTCTTCATTTTCACTCAAACCCGCCGCGCAACAATCTGGCCGCATCTCCTCTCCGGCCGACTCTCGTGGACCAGCTTAGAGGAATTAATTAGTAATTGGAATTAGTGGCCGAATTTGATAGCTCTTTATTAACCACTAGGTTTTTTCTCAATCATAATACCATACTCGAGAGACTGGGGCTTATTTAGCATCTAATAATAATAACCATAATGACTGACCTGATCCTTTTAGCTTTTGACATCTCCCTCTCCGACTATGACTCCGACCCCAATGGCGGCGGAGGAGAAGGGAAGAAGCAGAAGAGGTCGGTGAAGGATTACCACATCAGGAGAAGAGGGCTCTGGAGCCTGGAATTTTGTGGCGAGTTAAGGAAGACGATGATGGTAGAAGGCGAAGCGGCGGACGATGAGGATTTGTGGAAGGCAAAGTGGCAGACGACGAGAATTTGTGGAAGGCGACGATCGCCCAAAAACTGTCGAAAGCTAAACAGAGATGCACCACCGTGTTGGTCCTCAATCTCATCGCTTTCTTCCTCGCCGTCGCCGCCGACAGAGATGCACCGCCGATTGTTTAACTCTGTTTTTGCTATTGGAAAACAGAGGAGGGTGAAGCATGGGGAATACTTTTGGCCAACAATTATTTGGGCCATCACCGCGTGAGACACGAGCGGTGAATGGCCAGGAGATATTCACTGCTTTCGATCGTGGCGGTGAAACGTTCATCGCTTTTGACGACTACGGTGATGTTATTCACTGCGGTTGATGGCCGCAGTGAAGTCCAAACATGTGTAGATTAGGAATATTTTTTATAACTTATGTATTTTGAGATTTTTTTTAATAACGTGTGTATTTTGAAATTTTTCCCTCCATTTTCCCATATTTTATTTTCCCTAGAACAGAGGGTAAAGAGAAATTGTAATTGGTAGAAAGGGTGCTGAGGTGGATGCATATAGGGTATGATATTTGGAAATTTGAATTCGTAAAGTTGTAAACATGAATTTTTTATTATATTCATTAGATAAAGTAGTTATATGGTTTCTATTAGGGCTGAGTATGCAGGTGAATCATCAGCGGGTTTGGGCCGACCCACCCGCATTTGACTCATATTTTGTTATGTGAATGTCTGTGGGTGGGTGACGGGTTGCGCTTGTAGCCATCCGTCGGGTGACGGATGGGTAGTGGGCGGGTGCGTGGGTGACCCGCTTAACCCAACAACAAAAAGAACAAAGGTGTGGGTGCTGGAGAGAGGAAACGTTAGACGGAAACAAGGACTGCTCCTGGAGATTAAGCCTCAAAGCCAACCTTTCAAATCTCGATCCCCTCTTCTTTCCTTTATTTTCCTTTGATTATTGTGCCTAGATCACCCCTCTTTTCTCCGTTGAATTATTTTCCTTAGTTATCTGCACCTGATAATCATCTCCAGTAGAAAACTCCTCCATAATAGAATTTCTATCCAATTTTAGAACTAATTTGATATTTATTCTTCCAATTCCATCCTTTTGTTTCCGCCCGATAACTCTCTATACCGATTCTCATGTCAAGTTGACTCCTAGGGCTGGGAATTCGGTTACGGTTGTGCAGTTAAACCGCAAACCGCACCGAAACCGCGCGGTTAATGGTTAACCGCAAACGCAAAAACAACCTTTTATGCGGTCGCGGTTAGGAAGAATGAGTCTTTTGTGGTTTGCGGTTTAACCGCAACCAAAACCGCAGATGCACCTAACCGCACTACTAACCGCAGGCCAGCCCACCACTTCATTTTCCAGACCAGTCCATCCAACAAACCCCACCCTAGGCCCACTAGCCCACTGTCGACCCACCCCCTTCCACCACAGTTCTCGTTTCCCCAGCCCTCAGCGTGCGAATTCTTTCTTCAGCCACTTTCCCAAATCGAAAAGAAAGGAAACCCTAGTTCCATGCAACCGCGATGACGTGACCTGGGATTCACAGCCAGTGCAACTGCAACGCCGCGACCATTCCAGAGCAGAACCCACACTCGTCGTCCGGAAATTCCTCCGCCACCGTCCCTTCTTGTCGAGAACCCGCCTTCGTCGCCGTCCCTGCTCGATCAGAGGCGTAGAGCACGCCGCCGTCCTCTCCACATCTGCTCTGCTCGTCGACATCGACAGCGCGACCATTCCAGCGGTTAACTCGGTTAGTGATGCCATTAACCGCGGTGCACCGTTAACCGCATTTTGCGGTTAGCAGTTAACCGCTAACCGTAGCAGGTGCGGTTGCGGTTGGCTAATATGGGCACTTTGCGGTTGCAGTTAACCGCAAATTGCGGTGCAGCTAACCGCAACCGCACCGTTTCCCACCCCTATTGACTCCTATATATGATGTACTTTGTGATGTGGGTGAACCCGCAAACCTACCCGCATCATCCACCATTCGTCCTACCCAACCCGAGACTAAATGTGGGTAGGTGGTGGATTAAAAATTATCAATCTGTTTAAGTGGGAGTGAGTGCTTTTTATGCTTTGGAATGCAACAAGGAAACTGAAAAGTCAACAACCCGAGACTAAATGTGGATAGGTGGTGGATTAAAAATTATCAATCTCTTTAAGTGGGAGTGAGTGCTTTGGAATGCAACAAGGAAACTGAAAAGTCAACATGTCTAAGATAAGAGGACTCAGAGCCGTGAGGTGAAACGGTCCGCTGCTGTTCCGTTATTTTTATCATTATTTTACTGCGAAGCCGTATTCCCATTCTCTCCTCTCACTCTCTTTGTTTCTATTTTTGGGGTTCCCGTAAAAGTAGGAGCTCGGGCCATTGCTGAGAGAGCTGAGGAGAGGAACGCTAGAGGCCGAGCCAGATACACGAAGAAGACGAAGAAGAAGAAGAAGAAGTTGGGAAAATAAGAGAGGGAGAGGCGCTATGAAAGATGACGTCCAGGAGACCCCTAAAACTTCTTCGAATTCCAAGGTAGCTCGCCTATGTTCGATCTTCACTCCCTCTCTTTCTCTTTTATTGGCGAAATCCCCAATCCTCGGAATCCTTAGGGCGTGTTTCTCTCATTCTCTCTAGTCATAAATTCAGTTCGTTATCTTGTCTTTGGTTTCCAGTAACCCAACCCCATCTCTAGATTCACATAAACCCTGAAAAGATAATGGATATGATTGACTGTGTTGATGCGAAAGTGGGTTCATTTCCAGACCCTTCTGCTGGGCAATCATATTCATAGAGTCTGGATTAGAGTATTGGGTTTGTTGTGCATTAACCTTATGAAGTAGGGTGATTCCCCACTGTGGTGAATCTATACTGTATCCGGCTATCGTTTCAACGCCCTAATGGTCGATCCAACGATCACGCTTGGGACGTCCTAGCGTAATCCACGGCTTCTGCATTCCGCATTCTACTTCTGCTTGATGCACCTGGCGTTTACGTGGAGTGCGCGCGAGCCATGGATTGCGAAATGCTCGAGACGTGGATCACGCTAGGACGTTCCATCTGCAATGAGGGTTGGAACTGTAGCAGGATTGCTCTATACTACAATTACAAACGAGCCCCTTCGTGTCTATAGAAAGTTACATTTTGATATCAGTGTACCCGACATATACTAGACTGGTATGACAATCTTTTCTTGCTTCTGTAACTGAGTGTTATTCATGATTCACAAGGTGTATGTATGCCTAGTATTATCTGTTTGATTAACAGTAGGGCCTTTAGTGAGATCTTTACTAGACTGCGCAATGAAAAAACCGGAACCTGGAAAGTATGAAGAAACTTCATATTTGACCACTCTGGTTTGTGTTGGGCCAACTTAGTTTTATAATTGTTAACGATATTGAAGAACAAGTATTGATTCCTAGGAGGCTACTCCTACGAATAATGTATCCTTGAGTTGCATTGACCACCATAGATGGATTGTTAACATTTCTCTCTTAAAAATGCATTCAACTACTTCATCTACATACCTATCTGAAGATTCAGGTCCTGTGTTCTTAAATGCATTTTATCCTGTTTTATTTGAATGATGAATGATTCTTATTAGTCGTGTGATTCTTTCCAACTTTGCAGTCTCGCGGGGCGGTTCGATCTGTCGACACATATGCCGCACAATGCCATAATTGCATGAAATGGAGGGTGATGGCAACAGAAGAAGATTACGAGGATATCAGAAGCAAGAGCAGCTCTGTAAAATTTACTTGTGAATCGAAAGAAGGCCTCACTTGTGATACCCCAGCTGATATAGAGTATGATTCATCCCGGACCTGGGTCATTGACAAACCAGGACTTCCCAAAACCCCAAGGGGTTTCAAGAGGTACTTGGTTCTCAGGCGAGATTTCTCCAAGATGGATGCCTACTATATAAGTCCTACGGGAAAGAAATTCCGTACAAGGAACGAGATTGGTGCTTTCATAGAGGCCAACCCGGAGTACAAAGACGTAAAGCTCGATGACTTCAACTTCACATCTCCCAAGGTTATGGAAGATACTATACCAGAGGATGCACTGAAGAAGATGCCTGCTGCCAGTAGCAATGGTGGTAATAGCAAGAGAAGTAAGATCACAAAGGAAGAAGCTTGATTGAAGTAGAAGTTTCCACGGGGGTTTGGTGTGCCCCCTTTCCTGGTGTGGTACCCCTTATGTTTGTCCTTGGGGTTTGACACGACTCTGTTTATGTAGAATGCGCATTTCTTGTTCTGTTAATGTTGGAAGTGTGAAAGGATTTTGTTTGTCTGACCTCTTAACTGTATTCTGTAATGAAGTTTTCATATGCGACCCTTAGCGTGTGTTTCCTTATTCAGTGTCTTGTTTCATCATGATGAAGTGGAAGAGGAGCTTCTGAAATTCATTGCAAACATTGAGGATTGTAATTTTCTTTTCTGTTGAAGAGTTGATGCTCATGGCGTTAATTAGTGGTAGCTCCACACCACTGGGAATTGGGAGCATTACATATATTAAGCCAAGGATCAGACATTGATGCGCCTAGGGTTTGCTAGGTGAAAAGGTCAAGTAGGAAGATGGTTTCTGTTTTTGTACAGTTGCTGGAAGTTCTGGAGAGCTAGGGTTCTTTGGGAACATGCAAGACTTTGCTTCGGAGTTGAATCAGAAAGGGTTTTATGATCCTTATGAATTAGGTACTAAGTTTATTGATTGATCAGAACATTGAATAATCTGTAGGATTTTATAACAATCAGTATGGTTGTACATGATTTTGCGATTATATCCTGATTCCTGAATCGTTAGTCTTTGGTACCACACCGGTTTCACAAAGATTATATATACTCCCACTGAGGTGAGAGCCTGGTACTTCTGATTCTGAACACAGTCGATAACATCTCTATTTTCATTTTCGTATAAAACTTACAAGTCCTGGATAGTGTACAAGTAGGTTACTCTGATCTGTACAAATATATGCTCAGCTTCGCAGTCCAAAACTCAATATGTACATAACCGGCGAGAAGAGCTTTCTCTCGTAACAAACCAATAGTAACCACACACTGTCCGAATCAGCAGCATTTGTGAACTAACTAGGTAACTGATTAGGGGTGTTGAGAACTCCATGGAATTCAGATATGCCTTAAGAATCGGGATTTATACACCGCCGGCTGACTTTATGCTCGTACTGACTGCTAACTTCCAAGAGGAGGGGAACCCTCTCTGCAGTTTGTTGCAACTTGCAACTAGAAGTAACCCAGTAACTTTTGCAGGCAGGCAGACTTAATCTGGTTTTGTGTACTCTAGAAGCATATGTGGCGATCGATATATCTTCACAAGCGTCCAATAAAGGACCTCTTCTACCCCAAGCTCACCTTCTGCTCTTGCTGCATATATATCCTCACAAATGGCTATCAACCTGCCACGAGAAAAGGAAACCAACTGTGCCTGTTATGAAGCAGCTAGAGTGAACCTAGCATTTCTCAATGCAGAGGGTCGTTTCCGAGTAGGAACGAGAACATGAATGGGATCCAGAGGTGGGGATGGGCAGGTAGCTTACCCATACCCACCCTCACATCAGGCGTGGGTCAAATCTAATCTTGCTCGAGACATAAGTTTGGGTACGTCGACTCATTTGGATATGGGTCTTAAAGGTAGAATATGCAGAAAGTCAATTATTCATTTAAGATTTTCCGAAACAACACTTTCTGACCAAAAAGTAAATGATGACATGGTTAATGAAGTCAAGTAATTCAAAAGATGGAAACTCACTTCATGGTATCTCAATTAGAGTTAAAGTATGATTTAACATAAGTTAAAACATGAGTACATTGAGTAAATAATAGATAGAAGTTAAACAGAACAGGTCAAGGACGGATGAATACATGCTCGGCCAATATAGACCAGAGATTGTCATCCCTACTTCTTCCAAGCGATTAAAATTCTTCTGAAGCCTATTTTAAGAGTGCATCAACACCATTTCGAAATAGAGTTGCCAACAATTCTAATAATAAAAAGCTTGCAAAAGAGAAGAGAAAATTATCATAATATGGAAGTAGGGGATCCAGTACCTGTCACATGAAGGTAGATTCTCGTATGGTATTCTCATTCTCAAGTCTGAGCACTGCAGCCTGATGAATCGACCCACAGCAAGCACAAAGGTAATGTAGAGACCCCATATGCTGAACTTGCTAATTGTGTCACCCAGAATTCCCTCTGCAAATATCCATTTAAAGCATTCAAAATATAATTTTTACTATTATCATTGGTAGACCATGTCTTCGTTTTGATCCAACGAGTTGGAGGCCTATTTGAGAAAACGCGCCCAAAAGTATTTGAAGTTCTATAGAAAAGGAAGGTAGAGTTGAAGATGTAGAAAATATGAAAATAAGTGATTTCCATACCAATTTAAACTTAGATTATAAGAGCAGAAGTTGGAAGTTAGAAGTGTATTTGATGAAGTTTGATTATGAGATCAACTGAAGACAGGCACTGATGCCCCCACCCAATTGAATTAAATAGAGAGAATGTTTTTTTAGGACTTACGTGGTGGTGTCTCCTCGGATACTATGACAGCTGTGGGCCCAGCCAAACCTCCACAGCCGCCTACACCTGTAGAATTGATGTCATAAAACATCCACCAGCTGAATTCATTGCGGTTCATGATGAGATCAGCGCTTACTGCATTCACCTGCATCTTCAAATTTCCACAAATCAGTTGTTGTTTTCATTCTCAGTATGGGGAATAACTTGCATCCCAAGCAAACAAGAACTGGAATGGGAAAGTCTATTAGCTTTTCACCTCTTGTTCGAAAGGTCGAACATCACCTGAGCCAGTGACTCGGAAGTATCTTGGGTACACATTATATATCCTAAAGCTGTTTGAAGAACCATTGAGAACCTTCTGAACATCTGATCTTGATGGAAGATCGAGAGGATCAACGATTCTCTCATATCTTACAACCTCCTTGCCTTTTGGCCTGTCCCTAGTTAGCACCCAAATGAACACTATATCCATTTCCATCTCCCAGTCAAGTGACTGAATAAACCTCTTCTGAACCACATCAGGGACAAGCCATAGCATACTGGAATCTGGCTGGCAGCAAACTAACTGAATATCGTCCTTGTTGTACGCATCCAGATAACCAAGTGGGTCCAGGTTAGAAGCAGAGTTGACGTGATCCCATTGAAGCTTTTCACACAGAGTGGTTTGGTATAGTGTTAATCTTCCACCAACTGTCTTGATATCGACCTGAACCCGAGCATCTTTGATGGGGTTTGCTATGTTTGTAGGGTTACCACTGCTGTAAATCTGCAGTGAACAAATAAGTGTGTCAGGTATTGTTAAGCTAAATTTTGCTATAGTTGGTACGAATATTATTTATTTTCGGAAAAAAAAGTTATGAGTTGATTTGTTATGAGGTTAGAAAAAAGTTACTTGAAAATCTGAAACGAACATACTTGTTCAATTTAAGTTCGAAATTCTTAAACAACACGCAACATCTTCCTAATGGAAAAGGCAGATGATGGTATTAGCAACTTAGCACAATTGAACTGTTACTAGTAGGATATAAACCATAAACAGCAAGCGACAAACTCTGTTGATGCTCTATCTTCAAAAAGACCAATAAGCATACATGAACCTTGCAGAGAACTTGCCTACTGAATAAATTAGCATTCTTACCAGCATGGGGGCCCAAATAACACACATCAATATGAAGAAGAGGCATATCCCATTGCAGCATTTGGTCCATTTAGTTTGTTTATCCCCTTGTCTATGTGTAGCTCGATTCAACACTGCATCACACTTGACCAGGTACAGACTAGAATGTATGTCTTCCAACTGAAAAGGATAAGATATGCTGGATTTCAGCTCCAGTAGTAACTAATAAAATTTCACATCACTTTAAGCATAGAGTAAGAGAAAAAAATGACGACATGACAAGAATGATAGAGTTACAGCTATAACTGACCCATGATCATGTCTAGTAAACCATCGGATTTTACCTTTAGCCAGTCGTACATGGTCAAAGATGTTGTAGTACATGACCAGTCTAATACACATCGCAACTCATAGAGGAAAGGCAGAGCACGATAAAGTCTGTAACCCAAATAATTGATCCGGGTGACCTTGCTAGTCAAAAACTGCTGATACAAAGTGCTTTTAAGAGGGAGACCATGGCGAATTTGTATGGCTTGAAGCGCCAATGAAACTGCTTTTGCCAGAAATACAGCACGCAGAACAATGCCCGCTGCATGTTCTTGGGAAGGTTCCAAGTTCCACGCATACTCGGTAACTGAATAGGTGAAGAGAATAAGGTTGAAAATGTAGAAGATTAACTTCCCAGTAGCAAATGAACAGAGGTAAACTATCCGGTCAAGGACAATCAGAAAAAATACTACCTGCAAGAAGGAGCAGTCAGATAAGTAATAAGACTAATAAGCACCATCATCAGATAAAACAAAAACAAAAAAGTCCCCAAATCACCATGCATCGAGGATGCTGATGAAGGTGGTACATGGTTCCAATTCTGTTATTTGTATCTAACAGAGGCTTAAACTCACACATACATAAAATAAGCAGCCAAGAGCTGAAGCTTCAACCACATTAATATCCTTTATGCCCAAATTAAATGGTCAACTATCCCAAATTTATATCTTACATTTGCAGTACCAGGTTATTTGGTTACGTGTATTTGGAGAGTAATACTTGCATATGGCACGCAATTGAACAAACGCATCATCTTCCATAGACACTTTTGATGTATTTGATTGCATTTAAAACTGTGCATGCAGTCTCATCAAAATGAAGCAATCTCCAATAGTTGGGGGTAGGAAGTAACTGAAAATGCAGTACAGAAAAGCAGGTAGTACATGTCTTTTTCATTTTTATGGCAGATTCCATGCACGATTCACAACACAAAGCAATGCTTTTGCAAATACATCTCACATTAGCTCGCAAAAATTAAAAGATGCAGACAAATAACTTATAGCATGCATATATTAGTCCAATAACACAAGGGAAAGACTAGAGAACAAACGGATACTCACCATCAAGACAAACACAAACTCTTTTGGGAACTGATCTTCAAGCTGGTAAACGTCAAGAAATTCACTTTTGTTCTTTATGACAGACTGGTAGAACATTGCAACAAGGAAGAACACGCTCAAATCAGCACCAAATACGTAGGCATACAAATCAATCTCTCTTTTCCCTCCGCCAATCACAGAGAGGATAGGGAAAGGAAATCTAATTGCTTCAACAAACCCAGCATCTTTCGATTGCTGAATTTCCTTTGCCACATCAGCAGCTGGAGTTAGTGACTTATACCACTCAGCTGAAGCACAGGAACCTGTCAAAGGAGAGGCATACACCACTTCAAGAACAACCAAGGCCATGTTTGGATCTTCTTGACTTCTTTCAATGCTCTGAACATGAACCCTACTAGTGAATGGACAAGCACTATTTGCCTTGCATCTCTCGTCATGACTGATTTTAAGTAGTTGATTTATCCCAGATTCGATTCGCTCAGGCTGAATTCCATCCTCAGGCCATGAGTGGACATCCATGGACACCTGAACAAAATAAGGAGGAGATTCTGCTCCCTGTGTGAGTGATCCCCAATACCTAAAGATGCTTCTAGCTATCAGCTTAACTGTCTCTTCCATTACATGCAAAACCCCCACAGCTCTCTCCCTCC